TGAAAACTCTAAAACCACTACAACAAACGTGTTTATTGTGATAGTTTTATGATACTTAGATCTAAGTTATTTTTTTGAAGTTTCCAAAAGTTGTTATTCGAGTAAAAAACAAAATTTAAAATCCATTATTAACCTTACAATACTTTTACTGTTTTAAATAAACACAAATTTTATTTTTTTGAACTTGATATGATACACAGAAAAAAACTTACCTTGTGGCGACTCTTTTGAAATGCAAACAGTAAACAAACCAACCGCGCAAACAATAATTTATAGGTTTTTCTTTTTTTTTCCAATTTTTGGAAATGTTTTAATTAAAACACTAAATGTATTGGCGTTTTCATCAACAAAACATTTTTTTTCCAAAAAATTGTTTTATAAAAGAAAAAAAAGAATCGTAAGGTTAAGTGTGTTGAATAAATTATAAATTTTATAATAAAATAATAATAATGTTATAAAAAATTAAAAAATAAACTTAAAAAAGTTGATTAATGGAAACTATAATAATGCTCTTAGGTGATGGCGGAGTCGGGAAGACTTCGATTGCGATTCGTTTAGTTCACAATATATTTACAAAGATATATGATCCTTCAAACGACAACCCATTTTTAACATCTATAACAGTTGATAATAAAACTCATTCGATATTATTACTTGACTTTGCTTGTTTCGATGAATGTAAAGCATATAGATATAATAACATTAATAAAAGTGATGGGTTTATTGTTGTTTACTCCATAATAGATTTACAATCTTTTAACGAAGTTAAACATCACATTGAAACGATCTACAGAATTATGGATAAAGACGTTAATGAACACATTCCTATAGTATTATGTGGTAATAAATGTGATTTGGAATGCAATAGAATTGTCACAACAAAAGATGGAAAAATACTTGCAGAAGAATTCAACATATTCTTTTATGAAGTATCTGCCAAAAATAATATAAACATCAAAGAAGTCATTAATGACCTTTTGAGAGACATTTTAAAACATAAAAATGATATGAATACAACTGCTTTCCATAATGATATCGTTTCGAATACAAAAAGTAAGTCTTGTTTTGTGTGTTAATAAGTATTTAAACATGTGTGCAATTAAAATAATTAATAAACCAATTGTATAATGAACTGATTAAATAAACTATTATTACAATGCAAAAACAATATTCTATTAGAATATTTTACCATCTGTTATTTGATTTTTTGTAAAAAAATGTAATTATTTAAGATGGATTAGTAAACTATATATATCAATATCGTTTTTTATTCAATTTTGTATTTTAGTTTTAATAAATATAAAAATAGTGTGTTTTAAACAAATTTTTATTATCATTACATCGAAATTATATATTATTTTAAAAATTAAATTTTAATAATTATTGATTTAAATCAAGACTAATAACATTAGTAATAATGCTGCTAAATTGTAAAGTTTATTGGCTTTATTGTCTATGGTGCAAGTCATACATTCTGTGTCAAAACAGGGTGTAACATAATGTTCTTTACATTTTTCACATGTGCTTCCATTCTTATAAAAACCATTTTTACATTTGTCTGTGCATCCATCAATTGAAAATATTTCAAAGCCACTTTCACACTGTTCACAACTATTTCTATTACCACAAACTTTACATTTTTCTACACATTTATCACATTTTCCTTCAAAATTAAAGAAATATTCAGGACATACAGAAGAACATTTCTTCTTGTCAAGTTCCAAATAGAAATTGTCGTGACATTTGTCACATGTTTCACCGTCTTTACAACTTTTGCAATTATCAATAGTACATTTCTGGCAATTTCCGGGTGTTCCAAAAGTACCTTCAGAGCATTCTCCTGTCTGACTTGTACACTTTTTGGTTTGAGAATTCAATTCAAAATTATCTCTACATTTGTTACAAACATCTCCAGTACCACATGTTAAGCAGTCTGGAGTTGAACACATTTGACACGTTTTGTTTTTGAGATAAGTACCATCTGGACAAGTTTCAAGACACTTCTTTGAGTCACTTTGGAGAATCATTTGTCCAGAACATACATCGCATGTGTACGAATTAGAACATTTTTCACAATTATTTACGGTACATTTTTGACAATTGGGATATACTCCGAAAGTACCTGCACCACATTCAGGTGCAATACACTTGTGACTATTTTTATCAATGGTGTAAGGAGCTTCACAAGATGTGCAAACGTCGTTATTACCACAAGAATTGCATTTATTCTCAGAACATTTAATACAAATTTTGTTATTTGGATACTCTCCATTTTCACATTTCGATACACACGTTTTCTTTGTGTTTCCAACAAACAAATTGTTAATACAAACTTCACAAGTCTCTTTGTTCAAACACGTTTTACAATTTTCAACACCACACATTTGACAATTTGGAGGAGTTCCAAGTTTCCCATCTCCACAAGTACTTTGTGGAGCTACACATTGTTTTTGGTCATTAAGCGTAAAAGGTGCAACACATTGTGTGCATACATTGTTTGTTAAACATACATTACAATTTGGAATCGAACATTTTGTGCACACTTTGTTTGTTCCATTTGGATATTCGCCATTTGGACATTTGTTGAGGCATTTTTTCTTATCTGATTGTATGACTTGATTGGAAGCACATTTATCACATTTGGCTACATCGGTATCACATACATCACAACCACTGACTGAACAAGAAACGCAAACGTTGTTAGTACCAGTCTTTTGACCATTGGGACATTTTGTTCCACATTGTGATTTATCAGCAGATAGTTTATTTGTTCCTGTGCATTTACTGCAAATGTTAGATGGACACGTTGCACAATTAGTCACTGAACACTTTGAACAAACATTGGCAGTACTTTCATATTGCCCCTCTTGGCAAGAAGATGTACATTTTGTTTTATCTGGTGATAACTTATTATTTCCAGTACATTTTGAACACTGGGTAGTGGCAGTGGCAATTTCACAATTTAAACAATTTGTCACACTACATTTTACACATAAATTATTATTGTTTGCAATTTCTCCTGCTGGGCAATTGGTGTTACAAGACGTTTTATTTGAAGATAATTTAAATCCAGTTTTACAAGTATTACAAGTCGTCAATGAATTAGCATTACACGTTCCACAATTTTGGACCGCACAAGCAACACAATTATTTCCATTTGTTGCTTGTCCGGTTGGGCAATTAGTTAAGCACTGCATTTTATCAACAGAAAGTTTATTTGGATTTTTACATGTTTGGCATTGTGTTGTTGACCCAGTCACACACGTTTGACAATTGCTTACTTTACAAGTTGGTGTAGGAGGGTCTATAGGCGCACTTCCTCCCTCTTGATCACATACGTCAGTCACACCATCTTTACTAGATTTGCCATTTGGACACGATTTGCAGTCCGCTCCATTAACAATTGTATCAACAGTTACGGCTGTATTAATGAAATGACTTGAATCGCATTTAGCTTTTAAAGCATTTACTCTTCCAAACATATTTCCAGAGTAAGTATCTTTAACGTATATTTTGAGTGATGTTTTAAGAGTTGAAGTTATTTGACTTGGAGCTGTCTCTCCGTGGTAAAAAATATAACTAAAAGACGACAAATCATCGTTCAATGTTTTTAAAGAAGGATAGAGATGAATAGAAGGTATAGTGTCATCATATAAAGCTTTAGCATCAATAGTTTCTACTCCTTCAAATCCGATCAATGTTTTCAACTGATGACAACCACTAAACATGTTTGCAGCTAAATGATTGAGTCCATTTAAATCAACAGAAGTCAGTTTGTAGCACCCATCAAATATCATAGTTCCAACGTTTGTTATTTTTTTCGGAGTTTTTATATGGGTTACAAGTGATGACTGAAATGCAAAATTGCCGACCGAATCCATTGTATTTGGAAATGGAAAAGTATCCAACCCAACTGCATTAAAAGCAAAATTTCCAATTGATTTGAGCGTTTCACTATTGCCCGAATTTGTTGCATGTATTAAACCGGCACAAAAATGAAAGGCGTTATTACCAATTGAAGTTACACCTTTGAAGTCAAAGGAAGTCAATGCACTAAATTGAAATGCAAAACTTCCAATTGTTGAGAAGCCCGAGTCCGAAACAATTGTTGTTATTCCACTTTGTTGGAAAGCGTTATCTCCTATTGAGACTAAACTGTTTCCTGTAAAATGAATAGAAGTAACCGCTTGGTTTCCCACAAAGGCATTGTTTGTCACACATGTTACTCCATTAACTGTAATTGCACCACTACAAAAACCGGGGCCACTTAAACAATTGCCAGACTTTTGAAAACAGTCAGCGGAATATACACATATATCCAGAAATAAAAAAGAAACAACGAAAGTGAACATGTTATTTTTGATATTACAACCGAGTTTCTTCGTTTATAAACGAATTCTTCGTGTTCATTTAAATTATTTTGTGTTGATTAAGCTAGATATACACTATGAAACCAAAATTAATATCAACAAGAATATTTTTTTAATTAATGTGTGTGTACAAATTTAAAGGGGTTTACTGGTTAAAAAGTATGTAAATATTTATAGAATATGGTTGTTTTGAGCTAAAAAATAAATTATTTTTTAAAAAATTACCTTTTGTTAATCTATTTTTAAAATTATATGTTTCATTGTGTTAGTTTAATCGAATTATCAAACAATAAATTATGAACAACAAAAATTGTGTTGAATTTTGAGTAAAACATAAACGATTCCCAATTAAACATCATTTCAATTTCATTTGTTGTTTTATTTTATGTACGATTCAATAATCAATCAACCAAAAAGATTTAGAATTACACATTATTAGAAAACTAAGAGCAAATTACATAGTTTATTTTTTCTAAATAATAAATAAAAACAAAAACATCCACACAATTTTATTGTGTATTGAATCCATTCAACTGTGTCAACAACACAAACTTAAAAACATTATCATCTTGAAGAAATAATATAAAATATAAGTTTATTTTAGTAATAAAATCATCACATATAAAAATGTCATTTTATAATAATTAATTTGTATTGTAAACTGTAGTTCAAAAGTTTGTACCGCAGTAAACAAACGATTAATAATTTTGTGTTTTGATATTTCAGTCATTGTTGTGACAACACCATCAGTATATCGATATTACGAGATACTTTAGCGCTTGTTATTTATTTTATTATTATAAATGAAGACGAGACTTTGAAAATTTTTGGCATTAAATTTATCAGCTTTTTATAATAAAATGCACTTTTGGGATCATTCACGTGTATTTCAAAAACAAAAATCCCGTTATTTCAAGTTTTATTTGAAATTTTTTAATGCTTAAAAATTCTTCGAGTAAAAAAATATTTTTTGAAGACTGTTTTTCTCTTTTTTACTTGGAAAAAATAAGCGAATTTATTACAAAAAACGATTCCCAAAAATAACAAACAAAATATATGCAAAAAATCGGGACACCTCAGTACCGACTTTTGAAAAACAGTTTACTTGAAATTGAATTTATATTTTATAAAACAAAATGAAACAATAATGTTTTTTTTTGTTTTTTAATAACTAAAAACTTTTTAAAAAAATACAATTTGTATTGATAATGTTACGTCTTGAAATGGTTTATCTTAAGACGTCATATTGTTTTTAGATACAAAGGACGATTTGATTACTTTTATTTCTGTCAATAAAAAGAGTAAAACCGCACTCCAATCTCTCAAAAAATCGCCTGTTTTTTGTTATGAATCCAGTGCGATTTGGTTTGTCAAACATTTTACACCAGATACATTTGATTTTGCAAATCGTGTCATGCCAGTCATTCAAATTACCGATAATGTCAAAATTCTTCGTTTCCCAAATTTTCTATATGACTTTTCAATTAATATTTTTGACGTAAAACTCCTTCCAGATATCCTCCCAAAAATAACATCTTTTTACTTTGGTGGTAGTAACATTTTTCCGATCAATTTTCGGCCAAAATTAATTGATAATCTTATAGATAATTCACAGCACTTTGTACACCTCAAAAAACTCGAAGGTGACATTGAAATTATCACAAATTTTATCAAAAGATACACTGAAAATGGACTTAAAAAAGAAGGACCTTTAAAACAAATTGTTCTTTGGAGTCATAAAGATCAGTATATCAAATTATCAAAAGAAACCTTTGGATTTCTTTTCGATATACAAAAATGTCTTGTTCCAAACAAAACCAATGTCTATGTCATTTGCGACTTTTTTGAAGAAAATTTGTGTTTTGATGATTTTAAAGATTTGGTCAAAAAGTTTAAAAATTTTAAATTCTATTTTAAAGTCATTTACGATGACAAAAATCCATTTTTCAATACCAACAATGTTTTCATAGAAAATGGAATAATTGCATTTCGAGGACAAGTGTGTTCTCAAACAATGACAAAAATTGTTGAAAAAAGTGCTGCGACAAAAGTTATTCATGTCAGTTTTGTGCCATCTCCAACTTCTTGGAAATTGCCGCCAAATGTTACTGAATATATTCTCACCCAATCAGATTATGTGAAGAAAACGTTTTTTGATTTTACAGACGACGTAAGTAATGTAATACGAATGAAAATTGACAACTCAAGAGGTGTTGATTTTAGTAACAATTTCAACAAGTTGGAAGTCCTTATAATTGAGAAATCGAGTCGAATTACATTTTATGAAGAATGCACTTTCCCAAATTTGGTTGAGCTGTATATTAAATGGGATACACTATTG